ATGAAAGATTTTTTAAACAAACATGTATGTAATAGGTACAGACATGAAATATTGAACATTTACAATCAGGAAATTCAGTGACATGTAAATTCAACATGAAAATCAGTTACATGTAAAATTCAAAATTTAAAATTCAACATGGTCGGAGTTCTGTGAGCCATCATATACCACTTTAGTTGTGGCCATTATTGAGCGAATAATTGTGCGAATAATTGTGCAACCAATATCAACAACTACAAAGCTCCGACCAAATAATCTACATAAGATGTTGGTTAGGTTTGCAAAATGTTAAAGTTTTTGTACAGGTACCGGGTGTATCTATGTTGCCTGGGAAAATCTGCTTCTGGGCTAGTTATATGATCAGGGATATTGGTTATGTCTAATTTACCTCCTTTTTCCCTATTTGGTCAACCCTTTCCTTTCACGTAAAGTACCCAAGGTCTCCATGTAGAGATGAACATATGTTGTTTACCCATAGCTGTCATTCTTAACTCTTTCATTGTTTGGGTGTTGTCTATTTTTTGGTTCCATTACTTCCTTAAAGGTCTGGTTGTGGATTTCCATTTACCTGCCACTACTGATTTTGCCGCTGTCAATAGGAAGTATATAACGCACTTTTCAAATTTTTTTAGTGACATGGTAATGTGGTAGTATAAAATTGTTTCTGGAGTGAAGGATAAGTGAATTCCTCTGATATGTTCTGTGATTCTAGTTACCACTCTCCAGAATCCCACTATCATTGGGCATGACCACCAGATATGTGGTGATATTTGTGGACTGAATCTATGTGCCACAACCGGGATTGTGTACCATTGGAAGATACATTTGTAGTTCATTTCCTGTAGAGGCACGCTAGAGTGGGTTTTCATTGATTTAGGATATATGTTTTCCCAGTCTCGTCTCTCTAACTGGCGTGGGAACCATTCACTCCCGGCCCTTGTGAAGTTTGGCAGGCGGTTGTTAGTTTGGGATTGCAGTAGGCAGTAACATTGGGAAGCTATTTTTTTGTTATTGGGGTTAGTGCACATTTTTTCAAAAATGGTTTCTTCTCTGGATTGCCACGTCATTAGCACCAGAGATTTAAAAAAAAATGTTTCAGTTGGTGATATTGAAATGTTTGGGATAGTGGGGGGGTCTTGTTTCCTGTCATTTCCCATAGTGGTATAATCCCCTGTCCGTTTATTATAGCCCTATGTGGGAGATATGGGTTATTATGTGCTGGGGAATATGCTGACAGTAGGAGTCATTTGTTTCCAAATGGAAATAGAGGGTTGTGTGATATCGGGTATTTTGGTGAAGGGGTTGGTGCTATTTCAGGGAGGTGGCACACCAATTTCCAAATCTTTATGGTGGCTGCTATGGTGGGCATTTCTGGGGGACCTTCATTCTCTAGGGTTGTGTATGTCCAATGTAGGGCTGAAAGGGACATGTCTACTTGTGTTTGTTCAAGGTTTACCCAGTCTTTGAGATGTTTTTGATTAGCCCATTCGATGATTCTCCCAAGGTGTATGGCTTGGTGGTACAGGAGTATATTTGGGCAGCCCAGTCCTCCATTCTTTTTGGGCTTTGTTAATATGTTATATGCTATGCGAGGTCTTTTATTCACCCATATAACTTTCGTTAGTATGGATATTAGTTTGTGGAAAAAATTGAGTGGGATAGAGATTGGTACATTATATAAGAGATAAAGGATTTATGGTAGGACATTCATGGTAATAATGTTAATTCGACCCATCCACCTAAAGTGTGGTTTGTCCCATGTGACTAGGTCCTTCTGTATTTCAGTTAACAGGCTTGGGAAGTTCAAGGAGTATAAGGTCTTTGTCAAAGTGGTCATGCTAACTCCTAGGTATTTTATTGAGTGTGAAGCTCATTGAAATGGGTACTTGTTTTTGAGGTAATTTGCCTGTGTGTTGGATATGTTCAAATTTAGTATCTCACATTTGTCTGTGTTGATCTTAAAATTTGATAGTTTGCTGTGTGTCCCTATTGATTCCATCAGATGCACCAGGCTTCTCTTGGGGTGTTCTATGGTGAACAGAAGGTCGTCAACAAATGCTGATACTTTGTACTCTTGGTTCCGAACATGCATGCCTTCTATGTTCCCTTGTTTGCGAACCTCCTGAAGGAGAGTTTCCAGTGTCAAGATGAATAGGGGGGACAAGGGGCATTCCTGTCAAGTGCCATTGGTTATGGAGAAGGCCTTTGATAATTGTCCATTAACTTTCAGTTTTGCTGTTGGGATTGAGTATATGGCTCTAATCCATTGGATCCATTTTGGACCGAAACCTACGGCTACCAATGTGCTTGTCAAGAACGTCCAGTCCATCCTGTCAAATGCCTTTTCTATGTCAATCGCCAGCAAGAGGGCTGGAGTATGTGATTGTTTGGCTATGTGTATAACGTTGATCATTTTTGATGTGTTGTATTTAGACATGCGTTTATGTCGTCTTGTTGGGTGACCTATCTTGGAAATTGTACAACAAGTTGTAATATTCTTGGAAGGCTTCTACTATGTCCTCAGTTGTTTGGACTAGAGTATTGTCTGCTTTTCTGATTTTAGGGATGTATGTTAGTGTTCCTTTGTGTTTCAAGGCTTGTGCTAAGAGTCTACCACATCTGTTCCCCTGAGTGTAATATGTTTGTTTTGTCCAGAGTAGGGCTTTCTTAGTTTTCTCTTGCAATAAAGAGTGTAATTCAGATCTGAGGGACAAAAGGTTTCGATATACAGTGTACAAGATGTTGTGTCCGAGATTCTAGCTGATGTATCTCTTCCAGCAATGTAGTGGTTTTCTGGGTTTTTCCTTTTTGAGATGTGCTCCCCATTTAATCAGTTCTACCTTGATCACTGCCCTATGAGCTTCCCATTGTATATATGGAGTGGTGTCAGGTGTCTTGTTTTCCTGGAAGTAGTGTGTTAGCGTATTGCGGATCGAATCTTTTATCCGGTCAGATTGAAGGAGGTTTGGGTTCAATGACCATTGGCCTTTGGTTCGCGGAAAGGAGGGTATGCGCATCTTTAATAATATGGGTGCATGGTCAGACCAAGTGATGGGTTTGATAGAGGCCCCCCTTAACTAGAGAGAGGTCTCTTTGTGTGGTTAAAAAGTTATCTATTCTAGAGTACGATTGATTGGGGACTGAGAACTATGTATTGTTTTTATGTCACTGGATGTAGAGCTCTCCAGCAGTCCACCAATTGGTTGGTGTGCATCAGATGTTTCCGTTGATGCCTAGCCGTGGCCTGGTGTGTAGGGTTTTTGGTTGTGCTGTCTTTACTGGCATCGATGGACATGTTGAAATCCCCTCCTATTATAAGGGTTCCCACTGTGTTATTTTGTATGATGTTCAGGATTTCACGGAGGGTACCAAATTGATGTTTGTTTGGGAGGTATAGAGCTAACAATGTCACCTTGGAAGCACCTAAAAGACCTTGGAGTATAACAAATCTATCGGATTCATCTACTATGTGTTTAATATATGTGAAGGGAACTTTGGCCCCTATTATAATTGCCACTCCCCTCGATTTGCTTTTAGTGTAGTTGTTATAATAGATGTGAGAGCATTTTGGATGTTTAAGGGTCGGGGCATCCTTACCTCTCAAATTAGTTTCTTGGATAAAGATCACTTCTGCCCCATATCTTTTAAAATCCCTGAGTGCCATATGGTGCGTTAAGGCCCGAAACATTGTATGTCTGATAATATTTTAAGCATGCCCATCCTACTGTAGTCGCGTCTTTGGACTGGGCTTCTGTAGATGGTGTAGTTTTCAGGACTATGCCCGGTGTACGTATTGCAAGAGTTATCAAATTTCGCCTTTTCCAATAACACAGGTGAAGTAAACATAAACATTTAACATTAATACAATAAGAATTAGTATAATTTGTATTCCTTTGACAGAGTGAAGGACTATCAGTTATATAGGACGTAGCCACTGTATAACTTTAGGCGACTTGGGCCTATATAATTTTTTACTTTTAGAATGGTTCAAATCTCAGCCTCCCGTCAACTATTGGAGTCGGTACTGGGCCCTGTATATAACCAGCTATTTGGAGCTGAACCAGGATGTTTTGTAGAAAAGAATGTTCTATCTTATGATAGTATAGCTTTGGATGTAGTCAGTCCTGGTAAGATTACGGTGGGGGGAGGGTGGTGGTGTTGGAAGTATAAGTGAGGGTTTAATTGCACGGATTTGTCACGTCTTAAAGCATGATGAAGTATAGGAAAGTGGTCACTGGTTAAGTGGTAGGGGTCTTATGTCCATGCTGAGCCCCCAATAGCCAAATTACGTTATTTAGTATTAGTACACCAAATGTGGATTGGGCTTTGTTAATCTTTCTGGGGTTTCCCCTCCATCTAGGTGCGAGAAATGATCGGTTTAGGAACCATGTGTCAGTACTCGGGCACAGGCTTATGGTCTTTGTAGGCTCCACTGCTATGACTGGGTTACAACAACATACATACTGTATGCTCTTTGTAAATTAAGTTATATACACTATATTATGTTCAATATATACACTCAGTGGGATATTAATGCATTTGTTATAGTACTTGCCACCATTTCCTAATTTCTCTCATCTCTATCACCCCAATGAGTAGGGGGGGGGTATCCTATTTGTTCTGTTATTGTGTCCTTGGCGTTTGGAAATAGTGTGTGGGCATCTCAATGGTCTTTCACTGTTCAGATATCAGAGAGGCCCTCATGGTCTTTGGACTTGTCTCCTGAGTGTGGTGAAAGGGGAGCGCGGTGGAGTTTTCCATGATGCTCTCTTCCTTCTCTCTGGTTGTTTCCATCGAGGGTACTGTTGTAATACTGGTTGCTGAATCATTTCAGTAACATCATACTAGCCCAGTATCTCCACGTGCAGCAGCCCCAATTGTTTTGTAAAATCTGAGGCTTCTGCCGCTGATGTGATATAGTATTATTGTCCTTGGTGAGAGGCGATGAGGGAGAACGGGAATCCCCATCGGTACTTGATACGTTTGCTAGGCCTTTGGACCTAAGCGCTGCATGAGCCATATCTAGCATGATTGGGGTTCCCACAGGTCTGTGGGATATTGTTGAATACAAATTGCAAGGTTGTGTTAAGTTCTTCTGTGGAGTCTTGCGATTCCGGAAGGCCCTGTACTCTGATGTTGTTTTGGCGACCTCTGTTATCAAGATCTTCCACATTTTTCATGTTGTGTATTAGTTTTGCGTCCATCACTTTGTGTCTTTGCTCTAGATTCAAGAGCCTCTCTAATATTTGGTCTCTGTCCTCTTCCAGGTCCCCCACTCTATTACCGACCAGTCGTACTTCTGAGGTCAGGGAGGATATCTGAGTTTGGACGGAGGCCTCCAACCGGGTCAGCATGGCTGCTATGTCATCTTTTAATGATAAGTTGTTAAGTAGTTCTTTTATGTCCGATATTCTTGTTACGGAAGAGTGGTCTGAGGTTGTTGGGCTGTATGGCGGGGTGTCGCGTGGTGAGGATAGCGCCGCCATACTGTCTTCCGGATTCACCGTAAGTGCCTTCACCCTATCTCGGAAACATCCTTTAAGATCCCCAGCTTTTTTGCTCGCCCCTTGTTCCGAGGGGTCTAGCGTGTTCATTGATTTCTTCTTGTTGCCCAATTTTGTGTTTTTCTATAGGTGTTTTGGCAATTTTTTGGTTCAGCTATCTGGAGTTCTTCTAACATGCGTCGTCTCACATTAAGAGTTAGGCCACGCCCCAAGTTTAAAGTATAATTCATTGCATGTGCTCCATTAACAAAGAACCTTATTCAAAACAAAAACATTGCTTATGACCCTTTTTGTGCCCAGTCTGTATACACGCTTTTTATTTGCAATTTACAATATAATATATACGGACTGTTAAAACATATTCAGCATCAATTTCAGGGCTTTTACTAAGAAAATTATTCAGTCATGGGAGCATTTGCTAAACTCCACTTTTTGTTGTTGTATTGTTTTCTTCTATACATATAAAAATATTTTTTTTGACAATTTGTGACACTTATGGTTACAAATTACAAAGGATGTAGAAAAATATAAATAACCACTAAGTTTTTAAAATTAAATGGGTACTATAGGCACCAAAACAACTTTATTTTATGAAACAGTTTTGATGTATAGATCATACCCCATACATTTTCTGCTATGTAGGAGTTAAATCACTTTGTTTATACAGCCCTAGTCATACCTCCCTGCATGCAGAGCGTGGATGTAATGTAAATACAGCCTTTATTCGAAAAAGCCAGCGTTTACAGTGATAATAAATTAAATCCCAAGCACACCATAGTGTGTGGTGTGCTTCGGATTTATTTTATTGTATGACAAATATGAACCTGTTGGGGACTAGTCTTTTGCATCTAGCACCCTGTTTGTTCATAACTACATGCTACATGCTTTACTAAACTAACCCGTATCAGTTGAGCATTCACTATAATATTTTGTGCAAATAAGGTTTACAGTGCTAACACTGCGGGGACTTGCTATAGACACCAGAACCGCTACATAAAGCTGCAGTGGGTCTGGTGACTATAGTGTCCCTTTAACTCTTAAATGGCAGATAATTAAGCAGTGAGGGTGCAGGGGCATGATCTATATACCAAAATTGCTTTTTTAAGCAATAGTTGTTTTGAAAACAGATGGAGGAAAGGAAGCGCCACTAAAACAGAAACATTAACCCCTTAAGGACCGAGGACGGTTCAGGACCGTCATCGGCATTTTTGCGTTGCCGACCGATGACTGTCCTGAACCGTCCTAACGGTCAGAGCTACTTACCTGATCGCCGTCGTTCCCCCGGCGGCGATCAGCGTGGCTCCGGTTGTGGGGAGACTGTCTGCAGCCCAGACAGTCTCCCCACGGCAGATTAGGACCCCTGTGGCCATGTGATCGCTTAACACAGTGATCACATGGTCACAATAGGTGTCCATGTGTCTGCCTGCAGGGGGACTGTCTGTGCTGACAGGCAGTCTCCCTGCTGGTGTAAAATCAAAAAATAAATAAAGTTAATGTTAATTAAAAAATAAATAATTAATTATATATGTGTATATATGATATATAGACATATATTATATCTATATAATATATGTCTATATATCATATATATATAATGTCATACTAAGTGTATTTTTATATTAATATGTACTTATATTAATCTAAAAATACACTTATAATTAAATTACACACGTGTATATATATATATAATATATATAATAACTATATATATTGTGTATATATATATTATTATAAAATCTAAATAATAAGTAATTTAAATTAAATAAATTTTTTTTTAAATAATAATAAAAATTTAAAAAAAAATTATATAGCTATATGAAATTTTATTCTAACTGTATTTTAAAATTAATATATATATATTTATATCAAAATACACTTAGAATGAATTTGTATATATATATCTATGTATATAAAAATAAATAAAAATAATAAGAAATATACATACGTCCATATACAAAATTACTTAAATAATTATATAAATATACACGTAGACTTCAAATATATAAATATGCATATATATTTAAATTCTACGTGCGTATTTATGTAATATTTTTACATAATTCAGTAATTTTATTGATTGCAATTTGAGGGACCTGCCTGCCAACCCAGGCCGAAATTCCAGAGAATTTAATTTGCTAGCACTATATTTTACCCTGTAACGTTCTACGACACCCTAAAACCTGTACATGGGGGGTACTGTTTTACTCGGGAGACTTAGCTGAACACAAATATTAGTGATTCAAAACAGTAAAATATATCACAGTGATGATATTGTCAGTGAAAGTTACTTTTTTGCATTTTTCACACACAAACAGCACTTTTACTGATGATATAATTGTTGTGATACGTTTTCCAGTTTTTAAACACTAATATTTGTGTTCAGCGATGTCTCCCGAGTAAAACAGTACCCCCCATGTACAGGTTTTATAGCATTTTTGAAAGTTACAAGGTCAAATATATGGGTCAAATATTTTTACATTGAAAATGGCCAGGTTGGTTGCGTTGCCTTTGAGAGCGTATGGTAGCCCAGGAATGAGAATTACCCCCATGATGGCATACCATTTGCAAAAGAAGACAACCCAAGGTATTGCAAATGGGGTATGTCCAGTCTTTTTTTAGTAACCACTTAGTCACAAACACTGGCCAAAATTAGCGTTCAATTTAGTTTTTTTACTTTTTTCACACACAAACAAATATGAATGCTTACTTTGGCCAGTGTTTTCGACTAAGTGGCTACTAAAAAAGACTGGACATACCCCATATTGAATACCCTGGGTTGTCTACTTTAAAAAAAATATGTACATGTGGGGTGTTATTCAGAGATTTATGACAGATAATAGTGTTACAATGTCACTATTGATAAATTTTTAAAATGTATGTTTTGAAACCGCAATATCCTACTTGTACCTATAGCCCTATAACATGCAAAAAAAAGCAAAAAAGCACGTAAACACTAGGTATTTTTAAACTCAGGACAAAATTTTGAATCTATTTAGCAGTTTTTTTCATTCGCTTTTGTAGATGAGTAAAAGATTTTTCAAGTAAAAGTCAAAAAACATGTATTTTTTTCAATTTTTCATCCGATTTTTGTATTTTTTTTAAATTAAAATACATGAGATTATATAAATAATGGTATGTAAAGAAAGCCCCTTTTGTCCTGAAAAAAACAATATATAATTTGTATGGGAACAGTAAATGAGAGAGCGGAAAATTACAGCCAAACACAAACACCACAAAAGTGTAAAAATATGCCTGGTCGCAAATGTACAACATCACAAAAACAGTCCAGTCCTTAAGGGGTTAAATAATAAACTGGTATCAAATATAACAAAATAAAATAGCAGAATAAGTACACAATAAGTAAAAAGTTCAAGATAGACTGGAAAAAGTCTATGGGGTAGGGACGTCCAAAGTGAAAGCTGTCTATAGAAAGATGGACAACAGTCTTGATAGTAGGAGTATTCCTCACTGTGACATAGGTGAATCCTTGAAGTTCATATGAAATAGATAAAAGATAACAACCAATGGTGCAGTATGTCCCAAGTAGGGGCTGGATACAGTATAGAAGATCTATAAGGTTCTACTCACATTTAATAGAGCTATCTACTTAGCTCTAGTGTGGATGGCGTACAGTGGTACAATCCCCACTTATAGGATACGTGAAGTATTTGTAGTCTTGTTTGATGTAGGGACCATATGAAAATATAAAAAAACAGCAATAGTGCTTACAGTATAAAAACCAGAGGTGTGAAAATAAAATACCAAGTGGTTACTCACATTTGATTAAGCATCCTGACTGCTCAATGAATACAGCTTGAGTGGTATAATCCGCACCTAGGATTCTTTGGAGTAATATCCTCACTGAAAAAATTAAAAAGATCTGGTACCACGTAAAAAGGAATGGTAATAATAACAAATAAAAAAAAAAAAAATAATATGATAAAAAAGTAAAATGGATAACTCACAGACAGAAAGTGGCCAAAATACCTTTATTAAAAAATACTGTTATATTAAAATACCACAACGCGTTTCGCCCTTAGGCTTTTTCAAGTGGAGATCAGAAAGTATAACGTGGCAGACAGAAGTACATGTAGGGAATGTATATGTAATTGTTTGAAAAAGGTGCCAAAATTATGTCATTAATTATTATATATAACACACAAAAAGGTTTAGAAGTTAGATGAAAAAGTGTGTAAGTACATATAGAGGTTATATATCAAAATATTGTTTAAAAACAAGGCTTATTTATAGATATAATGAAAGAAAATAATAAAAAATTGTGGTCACGTGGTCAGCGGCCATATTTAATTACGGGTCGCGCTGCGTGATCTATCGCAATAGCTTATGGGGCTTGTAGTAGTTACGTCCGTGTCCTTATGATGTATGGCAAGATGGGAAAGTGGAAGACACGTCCCCACTGACGTGCTCAGGACGCGACCGCTGAGCGAGGGGCGATATTATTGGGCATGTCTTAGTGACATCCGGGGGTTGGTCGTGAAATTATGACGTGGATAGCAACTAAGGAGATGAAGGGGGCAGGCACAGCCACCTAACACTACAGGTGGCGGGGAAAGGGGAGGGGTAAACCTTCGGAAAGATGCAAGGGAATTAGAATCGGCATAGATTAAGAAAAAGACAGATATTATACTATGCCTTATAATAAATTATAGTTAGAATGTAAAGCTATACAAGTTAAGTTACAGGAAAACATATAGAATAAGAAGTATATGAAAAATATATGCATATATACATGTTCATCTTAAAACATAGAATACAAATAAAGTCAAAGAATAGTAACATTGTAAATTAATATTTATACAAGGATATATGAGTGCACCCAAGAGAATCTGTATAGGACTTAAATAATTGAAAAAAGTTAAATATAACAGTACAAAATATGAGATACAGAATATTAGTACAGCAAGTATCAGGTAAAACCAATAAAACATATAAAAGTATATATAGATATATATAAAAGAATATTCATAAAAAATGAAACAGGCCAAAATCTACATTTAAACCATCGGGGCAAGAGTTTTTAAAAAGAACACCCAACACATTTATTTTTGTCCTTATAGTTTTTTAAGGTC